CCCAATCCCGGCGCGCCACTTGGCGTCCCTTTCGGCGCTGGTTGGGTTGCGCCTGCACAACAACACTTCAACAACTCTTCTCCACACCACATGCCACAACAACAAAATAGTTTACACTATCAGCCATTACCCACACATCAACAACAACAACAACCATATCCCCCTCCTACTAACAACACACTGTCACATTCCCATCATCCCCAACACCAAGCACCATATCCATCGATGGCACCGATGGGTTCGCCGCATAGCGCACCCTATCCGGGCTCTTCGTACCCACATAATCCGCAACATGCACAAGCACCTTATCCTTCTGCATCGGGTACGCCCACACATTCGCCCTATCCCGCACACACAGCCCATTACACGCATCCGGCTACGCATCCTTCTTATGCGCCAACACATGGATATACGCCCGTACCGACATCCGGCGGTTATGAATCGCCAGCCGGCAATATAGCGCACTGTTTCCAAGAGTTAGCCCACCGGCAGGGTCATTCTTCGCTGCATCAGCATCAACCGTTTGCCCGAAGAGAGGTTTGTGTTAATGAAAGCTCATGCATGTTTACCATATACATACATACATACATACATTAGACTGATTCAAAAAAAAAAATCTCTTCAACACCTCAGGGGAGTTGTCAAAAGCTGACTGTTGAAAGCGCAACCCTTAATATTAAGTTTAAAAGGTCGCGCATCGCGGATTTCTATTTTCCATATAAACTATGTACTTAGAAAAATATTGTTTTCAACTGTGGCATTTGTTTTCTCGTCTTTGAATTATCGTACTGAAAAGTGCGATAGATATCGAGCCCTAACCGCCAAAATAACGCAAGCGACATTTTTTTCAAAATTTCATTTTTGATGCAGAAATGCATCTAGTTGCTCTAGGAATATTTCTGCATCAAATAGAAAATTTTGAAAAAAATGTCGCTCACGTTATTTTGGCGGTTAGGGCTCGATATTTTTGTAGGAAATAAGACGCTCTACAAAAAACGTGTGATATAATTAATCGTTAAACATACTGGTTTAACGGTTATTCGAAATTAAAATTAAATTTATGTCAATATTACAAAAAAAAATCAGCGCAATGTAGAACAAAAATATGGGTACCAAATGAGTGAGAAAATTCTGTAGAATTTAAAAACAATAAACGGACAAATAGGTATTGAAAATTCACTTTTAATAATTTTTACGAAATTCGATAATGAGGTCGAGCTTATATTAGTCCTCAAATAATAATTTGTTTTTTTTAAATATTGCAAATTTTCAAAGATATTTAAAGACAAAATTTGTAAAGGACATTTTCCATGCCCATTCGTCCCTATGCACCAAAAAATTTACTCTGTTATAATTCTACTGAATTTTCTCTTTTATATGACACCCTTATTGTAATCCTAAGTTGCGCTGAATTTTTGGAATAAAATTTTGAAGTAGTCATATCTTTTTAATTTTAAAGTTCTTTTAAAAAAATCCTGACGTCAGGGAGAAAAAGTAAATGTGCAGTTTAACTTAATTTACCCATAGTTTTGCTAATATATTTATTTTTTTGTGAATAAAATTTACTGTCACATGGTGTTGTAGGTAAAATAATTAAAGTTACTTTCAACTATCAAAAAAAAAGATTTAAAAATTTAAATTGTAAAGTTTAATAGAACTTGCAAAGTTAATTTTACTTAAAAAAACCCACAATTTCGGGGAAAAATTAATTAAAAGTCCTTTCTATTCAATTCAATTTTTAAATTATTAATTATATTATTAATATTGACATACATTTATATTTAAGTTTGAATAATTTATCGGTCTATCAAAAAATGATATGACACGTGTTTTGTAGAAGGTCTGATTTCCTACAAAAATATGTATCGCAATTTTCAGTGCGATAGTTTGAAGATGAGAAAATAAACTCCGCGAAGCGCGCCCTTTTAAACTTAATATTAAGGGTTGCGCTTCTAACATCCATCTTTTGACATCTCCTTGATGGTATTGAAGAGGGGATTTAAAAAAAGTCGATTTTTTTAAATCAGTGTCTATACATACACACAATGAAACGTAAATATTATGCATACAATGTACTGTATTATACAATCAATTGCAACCAAATTCAAGATGATATTGTTTGCCACTCATGTTCATCTATGTATTTATTTTTAGGAATTTTCAGTTAGAGTACAATTCATTCTCTTACAAAACTCGTGTTTAGGACTTTGCAGAGAACTGAAAAAAAAATTAAATAAATTTCATCCAAATTTTAAACTTTTTTCCTTTGCCGAAAGTGTTGCGAGTTTCTTCCATTAAAAATCAATTGTGTTTATTCCATATATGGAAGCAAATGCAACAAACAAATTAGAAAAAGTTTAACCTCAAAAAAGTTGACAATATCAGTCAAAAAAGATGCCACTAACTTTAGAGTCGACTTTATTTCGACCAAGGCGAATTTAATAGGGTGGTGTTAGCCGTATATAGGTAAAAAATTATACTAACAAATTACAACAAATACATCATTTTCACGTTATGCTTTCCACTGCGAAAAGGCAGCTATCGCTCCAACAACGCCTTATTAAACTCGCCTTGATTTCGACTATGAATATTCCCCAATCGATACTTGTATTCTGTGCTCCAAATTAAATACTGATTTTTATTTCTATTTGTTTTTTTTTTGCTACAGGGCACACCAACTGTATTACCAGCACAAAACTTTGATCCAGTCAAGGATGCTCATGATTTGCGCAAGGCCATGAAAGGTTTTGGCACCGATGAAGATGCCTTGATAAACATAATTTGTCGTCGTTCCAACGAGCAGCGTCAGGTAATTATAAAACTTAAATAATAAAAACTGCAATGGAAGTTCTACGAAATGTATATGTATGCCATTTTTAAAGGCCTTGACAGTGTTGCCAGGCTACTGCAGTAATTTACCCCCAATGCCAATTTCCTTTAGTACCCCTAAAGTTATTTATTTCGAATTTATTGTAATTTTATTTTTTCAATGTCAATTGTAGATAGTCTATTTTTATTTAGTACATATTTCAGAGGGATTAAATTTTTAATTTCACTTAAACTTTTAACTAACTCTAGTTGTTATTTGTCATTTGGCACCAAAACATAATACATAGGAGTATTCCCTGAGGCTTGCAAAGCCCTGGCATGGTAAAAACCGGTTTTCGTATGGGACAGCTTTGCAAACCGTGCACCGTGTGAGGGCTTTGCAAGACTCAGAGAAAACCCCTAATGACATATTTTCATATAAATGCATAGGTTTGCGTTGGCGTTGGTAGCCGAATTTGAAGATATGGTTTTATGTACATACATATATAAAACTGTTTACATAGATAACGGATTACCCCAAAAAATCCTTTTTGAATTTCCCCTAGACGCATTTTCTTACCTCTAAAGCTTTCCCCTAAATATTTGGTCCACCTAAATTTACCCCTAGGGTAGTCAAAAGTCTCTAAATCTAGGGGGAAAACCTCTAATCTGGCAACACTGGGCTTTGGGCTTACTGTTCTGTTTTTTTTTTTTACTGAACCAAATTTTGGTTGTGTGTGTGTTGATTGAGTAAAAAAATAACAGTAGTTCTTCAGAAAAAACTTGTGCATAGCAATATCTTTTCCACAATCAAACACTTTTTGGATTAAGCGCAAGAATAGCAGAATCCATTATTCATTTCCACGATGGCTAATATTTTTTATAAGGGTGGCAACGGTAAGCAAACCAAAAAAGTTTTCATTTCATTTAGGTTTGCGCCTTTGCTAGCGAAGCTTATTAAAGCACTAAAAGCTTTTACAATAACAATGACGGCAGCGTTGCCAATAAATGAAATGAAAAGTTGATAATTTTTGTATTTCCCTATCGAATGTGGTAAATTGGTAATTTATTTTTCAGTTTGATAACTTTTTTTTCAACACGGAGTTTCGTATTTGCTAAGTTTTTGACTCTCACTTAGTATTTGAAGAATCGATATTTCAAGCTTTCTTAGATTACAGGAGATCCCTCCCAATAGGTTAGTATATGTAGGCTGTCATACTATTCAATTACCGATCCCTTTATACTTTACCCACTTACTTACTTGACGAAAGGCTGTTTCAGCGTTCATTGGCTAAAAGACTAGTGTGATATCTAAACTTGGCCAATATACTCACTGTCAGCTTTTCAAGTTTTTTAGCAGTTAACTAATTATGTATTTCGGGCTACAGACAAAGATATGATGAAAGATCTATGTACGTCACTCAGTAAGGTACTTAGCATCGTCTACCTGACTCAAAAGCTTTCATATCTGCTAGAGATTATCAGACTATCTTATTAATGCACAAAAATTAAAATGCGCTGTGTGTGTACACTAGAGTGGTTTATTGTACCAGTTTTTAATACTCGCGATTTTTAAAGGCACCCATCGTATTTTTTGTGATTTTTAGGGCTCCTATTAAAAATAGCTAATAATTAAAAATGGAAAAGTAATAAATTGGGTATTATTATTGGAAGTCTCCTGAAAATAAACAGAACTTCCCGACATAGAACACATGGGAAACTTTGAGCGCTTTGAGCGACCTCTTTGATTTCAAAATAAAAAAACAGGGGTATAATTGTTGTCGGTATAGAACAATCCTAGGTGGTGAGAGCTTATAATTTGTTGCATGTTAAATACATATTGGTTTAATTCAGCTATGTGATAAATATATTTTTTCTTGCACCTTCTCTTCCAGGAGATTCAACGTCAATACAAAACACACTTTGGCAAGGATCTCATCGAAGATGTTAAATCTGAAACCAGTGGAAATTTCGAGAAATTGCTTGTCGGACTCCTACGTCCAATTGTTGACTTTTATTGCGCCGAAATGAACGATGCGATGGCAGGAATCGGCACAGATGAGGAAGTGCTCATCGAAATACTATGCACATTGTCGAATGTAGAAATACACACTATTAAGAATCAGTACTTGCGCTGTAAGTTTCAATAAAGGAACTAGCACATAAACTCCACATTTTTTAAGTATTTTTGTTTTTTTTTTGTAAATAATCGTACGCATAGCTTCTTACTAATCATCTACACCATTTCGTATTTTCAGTGTATGGCGCCCACTTGGAATCCGAATTGAAATCGGAGACTTCTGGCAACTTTAAGCGTCTCTTAGTTTCACTATGCGCAGCAGCACGGGATGAGAGCGGCCAAATAGATCCAGTTGCAGCGCAGGCCGATGCACGTGAGCTGCTCAAGGCAGGTGAATTGCGTGTAGGCACCGACGAAAGCATGTTCAATATGATATTGTGCCAACGTAACTACCAACAGCTGAAACTGGTGAGTGGAAATATAAAAATATATATATTTTTTTTTGTAGGATTTATTTTATTTCGTTTTTTATTCATGCAATTTTCTTTTACGCAGATATTCCAAGAATACGAAAAAATGACCGGTCACACACTGGAAAAAGCCATACGCAAAGAATTCTCTGGTGACATAATGGAGGGACTGGTTGCCATATACAAGTGTGTCACCAACAAGACGGAGTATTTTGCTTCGCGTCTGCACAAAAGCATGGCAGGCATTGGTACGAATGATAAACAATTGATACGTGTCGTGATCACGCGCTCGGAGGTGAGTGAAACATACGCGAAATAAATAAATAAAATAATAATTTTTTTTTTATATTCAATACCTTTAATTTTACTTGCAGATTGATATGGCTGATATTAAGGCACAATACGAGCGCATGTACGGAAAGAGTCTGAAGAGCTGGATTAAGGTAATGCAGCCATTTGATTTATACTTAGTTCTTCATAAAAGCAAATCATATTTTTTTTATTTTTTCTTTTACAGGGCGACACATCTGGCCATTATAAGCACGCTCTATATGCACTCGTTGGCGAACAACGCTCTTCCTAAATTTTACATTCGGCGCTTAATATTTATGTACACAAAAATTTATTATAAGCATATTTGTATAATGTTGAAGGTTTGAGAAAAATTTCGCTTGATGTCAACAAAATGTCCTTTAATTGTATGAATGTTCGAATATACATATTTACATACATACATACATAGATAAGTATGTAATGCACTTTCGAATATGTGCCTAGTTCAAACCAGTAAATTCTTCTATATTACTATTATTCCTATTTTCGCATGTGCACCAAATTTTTTAGGTGTGCTTTCATATTCTCAACATTTCATAAAAACATAAACAATTAAATATAAATATATATTAGATACTTT